CCTCCTATCATAAAGAATGTTTCTATTATCACTCCCAGTCACTTAAATGCCATTCTGCTTCTTTAGCGGGGAAAAAATACCTGAATGAATTCACTTACAGAAAGACAGTTTGACTGAATTTGCTTTTTACAACCAGTGTGGAAAATATCATAGTCAATTGAGGCAATCAGTAGAAGTCTAACTAAAAGTTTGTACCCCTTAAGTGTGGGTAACAGCTTAAACGGCAAGAATATATAAAAGTAGCAACAGTTTAGTGGGAGCCAAAAAGCACTAGGTTACATAATATCATACTGTGTTTTTAAAGACTTGATAAATGTGTACACTTGAACAGCCATCAAGAGGGATACTTGAGCATTTTAGAGTAGTGGAACTCAAAATCTAAGATTCATCTGGGATACTTACTAAAAGAAATGTAGAGTTTTGAAACTCACTCTTAAAAATATGTATTCCCAGGCTAGGCATGGTGGCTCACACCTGTAATCCTAGCACTTTGGGAGACCAAGGCGGGTGAATCACTTGAAGTCAGGACATCAAGACCAGCTTGGTCAACATGGTGAAACCCCATCTCTACTAAAAATACAAAAAAATTAGCCGGGCATGATGGCGTGTGCCTATAATCCCGAACCTACTCGGGAGGCTGAGGCAGGAGAATCGCTTGAACCTAGGAGGTGGAAGTTGCAGTGAGCCAAGATGGCGCCACTGTAGTCCAGTCTGGGCGACAGAGTGAGACTCTGCCTCAAAATAAATAAATAAATAAAAATTTGTATTCCATTGATTTAGGTAGACACCAGGAATGTGCATTTCTGACAAGCTTTCCACGCGATCCTACAGTAAGTCATCTATGGACTACTTTAAGAAACTCTTCTATAGAGAATGGAGTTGGATTAATAATAGGTGATTTTTTACACTGGACTGATTCACAAGAACCTAAACAGTAGTCCATGAAGCTGCTCATCTGTGGTAACTTGTTTGGCCCTTCTCACTCTGAAAGCAGCAGGAGGTGTTTACTTTGTTTCTATCCCGTTTGTCTGGAGATTAATTTTGGAATAAAAGTTTTTCTCTTTATGCCATTCCTGGTTCTTTTCCAAAGCCTCATACAAGAGGATTAGGTCACAACGCATGCATTACCTTTTTAAAAAATGCAATGTTGATACCGAAGCTTAATTTTTTCTTTTTTTTTTTTTTTTTTTTACTACTTGTTTTATTCCTTCCAGATAGTATAGCCCACCTTTCTATAGCATAGTTCTCTTCAGGTGGAATGATTCCTATAAGATTTCTCATTATTAAATCATGCATTTTCCAAGATGGAATCAATCTTTGATTTAATCTAATCTAATATTCTCATTTGTTAGAAGAACAACCTACATGCTAGAGAGAGAGGAGGAAATATACCCGTGACCACACAGCCAGTTAGTAGCCAGTTGGTGCTGGACTCCAGCCAGGTGTCCTGCCTCATGGTAGTTAAATGATATATAGAAAAGGTAAATTTTTAAAGAAATATTTATTAATATATTCGTATAAAACATTTTAAAGGTAACCACATAAAAATGGTTAATTTTTCCATTCCAAAGTAAATGCTAAGCATGCTTATTAATGAAGCAGTACTTCTAATTAGTATATGACATTCTGAAGTTAATTAAATTCATTGCACTAAATGTGTCTTCCTTGGTATAGTGGGGGATTTGAGGATTGGAATATAGAGTAGAGTGCTTGCTTAAGCCTGGGAGCCCATCTTACAGCTATTTGATGTAAGAAAAGAGACATGGCCATTTCTAAACTATATAAGGTGAGTGTCTATTCCCAGCAGATATAAAGGAGAAAGGAAACTTTTTTGACTCCCACCTTCCCAGCCTCACCTATCCATCTTCCAGCCTCAAATATGGAGATGTTAGTGCAAGGTGCTGGGCTCTAGGTAATCATTTCATAAGTCCTTTACAGGTAAAGAAAAAGTAGTGTTTGTATGTTTGTTTTTAAGTAACCCCAAAACAAATTTATGTTGTATTTGGCAAAATTGGAGTTCAGGTGGTTAATTTTAGAACATAAAGTGCCTGCTGTTTTAAGCATTGACTTGTATAAAAAGAATTGCATGTCTCACTCCAGTAAGCTTATGGGTTTTCTCATTTTTAGGTATATGGCTTTTAATCATGTAAAGTGAAACATTAGTTTTGTTGCATTTTATTACAGGTTATTTGTTGCAATAAAGATGCTGCTGAAATTAACTGATTTAAATGTTCCTTTTTCTCCCATTTGCCCATGGGAAATGTACAACCTTGCCTTGATTAGTGACAACTGTGGAGTGACTAATACACATGAACAAGGTCATGTGCTTGCAGTGGAGAAGAGAGACTGCAGTATGAAGGATTACATTGGGGGTTTTAGTATAAACACTAACCAAAATGCATCCAAGCCTAATGGGAGGTGTGCAGAGAACTGCTTTCTATCTGCAAGTGGTTCCCAACAACCAGTGGTTGATACTACAAGGGTAAATGGTGCTTACAGCCAGTGAGGAGCATATCCCCCTACCCCAACCTCCACCCCCAAGCAGCTGGGGGTTTGTGGGAATACCACCTAGAGTTGATAGTGGCTTCTGCATGCTGCCCAGGAAATTTTTTTTTTTTTTTGAGACAGTCTCGCACTGTCGCCCAGGCTGAAGTGCAGTGGCACAATCTTGGCTCACTGCAAGCTCTGCCTTCCAGGTTCACGCCATTCTCCTGCCTCAGCCTCCCGAGTAGCTGGGACTACAGGCACCCACCACCACGTCTGGCTAATTTTTTGTATTTTTAGTAGAGATGGGGTTTCACTGTGTTAGCCGGGATGGTCTTGATCTCCTGACATCTGACCTCGTGATCCACCCACCTTGGCCTCCCAAAGTGCTGGGATTACAGGCATGAGCCACCACGCCTGGTCCCTACTGCCCAGAAAACTTTGAGGGAGTTTAATGTACTGTGTATTTCAGAGGTTTCTGGGTTTTTTTGTTTTTGTTTTTGTTTTAGGTGGAGTCTTGTTCTGTCACCCCGGCTGGAGTGTAGTGGTGCAATCTTGGCGCACTGCAACCTCCCCTGCCCAGGTTCAAGCGATTTTCCTGCCCCAGCCTCCCAAGTAGCTGGGATTACAGGCGCCTGCCACCACACCTGGCTAATGTAGAGACAGGGTTTCACTGTGTTGGCCAGGCTGTTCTCAAAGTCTGTCACGAACTCAGATGATGTGCCTGCCTCGGCCTCCCAAAGTGCTGGGATTACAGGCGTGAGCCACCACGCCCGGCCTGACAATATTGTTTTTTTTTTTAAGTTTTATTAGAGAAAGGGCAGAGAGGAGGCAGATGAACCCCTCTGAAATAAGTAAATGGGTTTGTGTGATAATCCTTCCAGAACAGATACTTAATCTGGATTCTGTAACCCTCAAGTTGTGTGTGAAATATTGCATGAAAAGTAGTAGTGTATTATTCTGGAGATAGGCTCTTTGGCGTTATCAAATACTCAAAGGGATAATGACCCCAAAAAAGTTAAGAACCACAGCTGTATTAGGGTCTTAAACTTTTATTTTGTATACAAAAATTATTAGGAATAAAAATATGTTTAAAATAAGGGACTGCTAGGCCGGGTGCGGTGGCTCACGCCTGTAATCCTAGCACTTTGGGAGGCTGAGACAGGTAGATCACTTGAAGTCAGGAGTTCAAGACCAACCTAGCCAACATAGTGAATGAATATTTGTATACTAAAAATACAAAAATTAGCCGGGCATGGTGGCGCATGTCTGTAATCCCAGCTACTCGGGAGACTGAGGCAGAATCGGTTGAGCCCCGGAGGCAGAGGTTGCAGTGAGCCAAGATCACACCACTGCTCTCTAGCCTGGGGAACAGTGTGAGACTCTGTCTCAAAAAAATAAAAAGTAAGGGACTGCTGTAGATGAGTGCTTCCTAACCTTTTCATCTTGTAACACAAAAAGAGATAGTCATATGACACAAGGATAAACATGCACACTGGGGTAAGCTGTTAAAGCTGCTTGTAGCCAGAAGTGGCTGTCCAGGCCCACCTCAACTTTAAAGAAATTAGTATCTCATTATACATATGATCTATTTATAACATTATGGTTGGGAAATTTTATAGATTACCTTGGCCTATCAAAAATCAAAAATCAGCTTTCACCTGGCACAGTGGCTCATGCCTGCAGTCCTAGCACTTTGGGAGGCTGAGGTGGGCAGATTGCTCGAGCTCACAAGTTTGAGGCCAGCCTGGGCAACATGGTGAAACCCCTGTCTCTACAAAAATACAAAAAACTACCCGGGTGTGGTGATGTGCACCTGTAGTTCTGGCTACTCAGGAGGCTGAGGTGAGAGGATCGCTTGAGCCTTGGAGGCAGAGGCTGCAGTGAGCTGAGATCACACTACTGCACTCCAGCCTGGGTGATAGAGCCAGACCTTGTTTCAAAATATATATATATATATATATTTTTTTTTTAAATTAGCTTTCACGCCAAATGAGGTGGCTCACACCTGTAATCTCAGCACTTTGAGAGGCCAAGGCAGGAGGACTGCATGAGCTCAGGAGTTTGAGACCAGCCTGAGCAACATAGCAAGATCTTGTCTCTACTAAAACTTTTAAAATTAGCTGAGCATGATAGTGCATGCCTGTAATGCCAGCTACTCAGGAGACTGAGGCAAAGGATCACTTGAGCACAGGAGGTCGAGGCTGCAGTGTGCTGTGATTATACCACTGCAGTCCAGCCTGGGCAACAAGACCCTGTCTCAAAAAAAAAAAAAAAAAAAAAAGCTTTCAGACTAGCCGTAAGCGTCCTGTATAACTGTGACGGAGGTGTAGACTTCCAGCTATAGAACTCCAGTGCCCCAGATTCGGAGCAAGTGCTACAGCCTTGAAGCCTTTTGACTTCCCTTTGGCCCTGTTAACCTCACCCACCCCACCCAATGGATATGAGGGGGCAGATATTGATCCCTTGGTGCTTTTGTGGGGAGTAGAGTGAAACAGTCACAGTGTGAGAATCTCATAACCAGAGTATAATTTTATTTTGGGTTCGGTGTAGTTTGGGGATTTACTAGGATTTAAGGATTCATCTTCTGGTTCTATCACCCTGGAAGAGTTTGAGCTCCCATTGTAATTTCAGCTCTGAAAGACACAGATTGTTCAGTCTGCTGTTTGTTCCTTACTCCTTACTAAAAGACGCTCTCTCTAAATTGGACTCCAAACCTGTGTTCTTAAAATAGAAGTTTGGGGAAGCAATTAGCCAGGATAGTTGTCCTTAGCTAGCTCCAGGACTCCCCCATCTTTACTGGAAAAACACCCTGTAGATGTGGCATAGCTTAACATCCTACTCAGAAGTGACAGTTATTTGCAGGAAGGTCAGTCCTCTGGCCAGGATGGTTCTGGAAACCACAAAGCTTCTCTGTAAAATGACCTGTCTGTGCTGGCTTAATTACTGAGCACATACCTTGTCATAGTTGCATCCCTAAGCATGCATGTGTATACCACTGTCTGCAGTTCAGTTGGGTACTTGATGTGTTGCCGTGCCAGTTAATTGCTTTAAGCTGTCTCAACCGTCCATTCCTCTTCTTTCCTATTGTTGCTCCTTTCCCAGTCTAGGTCTCACGATCTCAATGCTGGGTAAATACAGCAGCTCTCTGTCCACCCTGAGTTGAGGGTGAAGAATAGAATTCCAAGTGACTTCAAATAAGCATTTCTCAACTTTCATTTAGCAAATATTTAGGAACAATCATGTGCCAGGTCTATGCTAGGCCATCAGAAACCAGAATTGAAGAGGATACAGTCCTTGCCCTCAGTAGGCTCTCAGGACCAACTTCACTTTCCACCTAGAAGCCACTTCCTTTAAAGGAGCTTTTTTTTTTTTTTCCTCTTTGAGACAGGGTCTCCCTCTGTTGCCCAGGTAGGAATGCAGTGTGGCATGAACACACCCACTGCAGCCCCAACCTCCCAGGCTCAGGTGATCCTCCCACCTCACCTTCCCAAATAGCTGGGACTTCAGGCACACACCACCACTCCCAGCTAATTTTTTCATTTCTTGTACAGATGGGGGTCCCACTTTGTTCAACCAGGCTGATCTTGAACTCCTGAGCTCAAGCAGTCCTCCTGCCTCAGCCTTCCAAAGTGCTGGGATTATAGGCATGAGCCACTGTGCCCAGCCTGGCAAGCTAATTATTTCCTGCCAAACTTCAAGTGGTGCTCTAGTCCCTAATCAAATACAAGTTCTGTCTGACATTCAAGACCCTCCTGCCAGGCGCAGTGGCTCATGGCTGTAATCCCAGCACTTTGGGAGGATGAGGCAGCAATCACCTTAGGTCAGGAGTTCGAGACCAGTCTGGCCAACATGGTGAAACCACATCTCTACTAAAAACACAACAACTAGCCAGGCATAGTGGCATGCACCTGTAATCCCAGCTACTCTGGAGGCTGAGGCAGGATAATCGCTTGAACCTGGGAGGTGGAGGTTGCAGTGAGCTGAGATTGCGCCACCGCACCCCAGCCTGGCAACAGAGCGAGATACCATTTCAAAAATACACATATATATATATATATACAAAAATTAGCTGGGCGTGGTGGCACGTGCCTGTAAATCCCAGCTACCCAGGGAGGATGAGGAAGGAGAATTGCTTGAACCCGGGAGGCGGAGGTTGCAGTCAGTTGAGATCACGCCACTACACTCCAGCCTGGGCAACAGAGCGAGACTCTGTCTCAAAAAAAAAAAAAAAAAAAAAAGCCTGGCCAGCCGCCAATATGGTGAAACCCTGTCTCTACTAAAAATACAAAAATTAGCTGGGTATGGTGGCATGCACCTGTAACCCCAGCTTCTCAGGAGGCTGAGGCAGGAGAATCCCTTGAACCCAGGAGGCGGAGGCTGCAGTGAGCCACACCACTCCAGCCTGGGCAACAGAGCAAGACCCTATCTAAAAAACAAACAAACAAACAAAAAACACTCTGGGCGGGGTGGCACACACCTGTAATCGCAGCACTTTGGGAGGCTGAGGTGTGAGAATCACTTGAGGCCAGAGGTTCGAGACCAGCCTGGCCAACATGGCAAAACCCCATCTCTACTAAAAATACAAAAATTAGCTGTTTGTCATGGTGTACTCCTGTAATCCTAGCTACTCAGGAGGCTGAGGCATGAGAATGGCTTGAACCTGCGGGGTGGAGATCACAATAAGCCGAGATTGCACCACTGCACTCCAGTCCAGGCAACAGAGTGAGACCTTATCTCAAAAAACAAAAAACAAAAAACAAAAAGAAACTCAGTGGAGGATTGGATTAGTTAATATACATAAGCACATGATGCCTGGTATACAGTAACTCAATAAAGGTTATCTCAAATTTAACATTTAATTTCTTTTTTTTTTTTTTTTTCTTTTTGAGACAGAGTCTCGCTCTGTCACCCAGGCTGGAGTACAGTGGTGCCATCTCGGCTCACTGCAACCTCTGCCTCCTGGGTTCAAGCGATTCTCCTGCATCACCCTCCCGAGTAGCTGGGATTACAGGTACGCACCACCATGCCCTGCTACTTTTTGTATTTTTAGTAGAGACGGTGTTTTACCATGTTGGCTAGGCTGGTCTCGAACTCCTGACCTCAAGTGATCTGCCCACTTCGGTGCCCCAAAGTGCTGGGATTACAGGCATAAGCCACCTCACCCAGCCTAGCATTTAGTTTCATACCATACTGTTTGCTACCGGTTTTGTTTCTCCAGTTGGATCACAGACTCTCAAAGTGGTACCTTTACACTTGCTTAATTCTCACCCATCATACCTACTGCAGGGTCAGATATGTATGAGATACTTGAATACCAAAAAAATTTTCAAATAAAAACATCTGACATCCCCCATTTAGGGTTGTCTGCTTGATAGCTTGCAGGTTCCTAAGTACCCATCTACCAATTTGTTTGTAACTGCAAAAGAAACCAAATCCTTCCCAAATTTAAGCTTTTAGAACTCCTTCTTTAAAATATCCTTGTAGTTTGTATTCTTTATCCCCAACTGAGGCTTCAGGTCAGGAGATATTGTCCTTCTCAACCCTGGTTGTTATTACAGTTGCCTGGGCAGCTTTTAAAAACATTCATATATAAGTCCCTCCCAGGATCCATTACATCAAAACGGGGAGGGGAGGTCCTGCCATCTTTTAATTTGTTAAAAATAAGTTCTCTAGGTGATCCTAATGTTTAACCAGAGTGAAGAGTCTCTGGCGGGCTTGGTGGCTCACGCCTGTAATCTCAGGACTTTGGGAGGCTGAGGACCGCAGATCACCTGAGGTCAGGAGTTCGAGACCAGCATGGTCAACATGGTTAAACCCCATCTCTACTAAAAATACAAAAAGTAGCCATGTGTGGTGGCACACACCTGTAATCCCAGCTACTCGGGGGGATGAGACAGGAGAATCGATTGAACCCGGGAGGCGGAGGTTGCAGTGAGCCGAGATCGTGCCACTGCACTCCAGCCTGGGTGACAGAGTGAGACTCTATCTCAAAAAAAAAAAAAAAAAAAATCCCTAAGGTAGAGCAATGGAAGATTTTATTCACAGAACGTTAGAGCCAGAACGTATTTTTAGAAATCATCTAATTTACCACTTTACTTAACAGAAGAGAAGCTGATGCCAAGCCGGGAAGTGATTACTCCGCGGCCATACCCACTGCCTAGAGTCCATACTGAAGCTCGGAGCTTCTAGCTGTGTCTCCACCTCCCAGAACAATGTCCTCCCAAGCCAGACCCAAGCAGATAAATTTGCCAAAATGAGGGTGCCAAGGCTGTTGCCAGGGTGGCCTCAGCAGAGGCACGGGGAGTAGAGGAAGTCCCCACCCCTTGTTTCACCCACAGCAACTTACCTGTTTACTCATGTATAATCAGGGAAAACACGTTCCACAGCTTAAAAGAACAGGTAGAAAATCAATGACCCCTCCCCTCACTTTCAGATGAGGAAACTGAGGCCCTGAGGACTACAAAGCCATAACAGCTGTTCAGTGGCAGAATTGGAACCAAAACTCAGGCCGACTAACTTCCTGAGGTACAAGGAGGTAAAGTGACTTCCCCAAAGGCACAGACTAGTTGGTAGCTGAACATGGACACCTGAATCTAAGACTATCTAAGACTCTCAATCTAGAACTCCTACTAAATTTCCTAAAACCTAAGGTGTCACCATTTGTAAGACCCTAATATTAGAAACATCAAAACGTGAATTAAGACTATCCTAAGAACCAGGTGCAGTAGCTCACGCCTGTAATGCCAGCACTTTAGGGGGCTGAGGTGGGAGAATTGCTTGAGCCCAGGAGTTCAAGACCAGCCTGGGCAACATAGCAAGACCCCATCTCTACAAAAAATATGAAAGCCAGGCCTGATGATACGTGCCTATCATCCTAGCTTCTTGGGAGGCTGAGGCGGGAGGATCACTTGAGCCCAGGAGGTTGAGGCTGCAGTGAGCTGTGATTGCACCACTGCACTCCAGCCTAAGTGACAGAGCCAGACCATGTCTCAAAAAACAAACCAAACCAAATACACACACACACACACACACACACACACACACACACACACACACACACAAAAGAATGATCCTAGAATCAAGGAAATACGAGGCCGGGCGTGGTGGCTCAAGCCTGTAATCCCAGCACTTTGGGAGGCCGAGGCGGGCGGATCACGAGGTCAGGAGATCGAGACCATCCTGGCTGACATGGTGAAACCCCTTCTCTACTAAAAAATACAAAAAACTAGCCGGGCGAGGTGGCGGGCGCCTGTAGTCCCAGCTACTGGGGAGGCTGAGGCAGGAGAATGGCGTGAACCCGGGAGGCGGAGCTTGCAGTGAGCTGAGATCCGGCCACTGCACTCCAGCCTGGGCGGCAGAGCGAGACTCTGTCTCAAAAAAAAAAAGGAAATACGATACTTGCCTGAAGTCTGAGTTCCTTCAGGGACTGAGCTGATGCTGAGCTCAAGAAGTGTGTGCTGGGTGGGTCTTGGATGAGAATCTCCCTGAACTTGCCCACAGAAAGGAGACAGAGCATGAAAAAGAGAAGGGAATTTGGGATCTGATAGAATTGGGTTCAGATCCAGCGGTTGTGATTTTGAGCAACACCTCTGCTTCTCTACCCTTGGTTTCCTGGACCCTAAAGTGGAGTTTTAATACATCACAGAGTTGCTGTGAGGCCAAATTGTCAAGTACAGACTGGCATGGGATGGCAGTTTGGAAGTGATTCATGACAGCGAAGTTGGCCCTCCTGCTGTCGATCGAACCCCACCCATCCAGGCCTGCCAGAGGGCGCAGAGTGCTCTCCAAGACTTGAGCTGTGAGGCCCAAACCCTGGGGAGAAGATAGATGCTGGAAGGGGAGAGGAACATGACTCAGCCCCAGGGATCTTGGGAGAACAGCAGCTTCTGGGCCATGAACAAGGGTGGGTACAAAAGCCTCCTATGGGGGTGACTGAACTCTGCCCTGGCCTCAGATACCTCCCACTTACCTGACCCAAAGGCTGATCTTCTGGTATTGCACATTTCTTTCTTTTCTTTTCTTTTTCTTTTCTTTTCTTTTCTTTCTTTCTTTTTCTTTCTTTCTCTTTCTCTCTCTCTCTCTCTGTCTCTCTCTGTCTATCTCTCTCTCTCTCCCTTCTTCCCTCCCTCCCTCCCTCTCTCTTTCTTTCTTTCT